CCTGGTTGCTGGTAGGTAGATTTTGTTAAGAAGCAGGCTAACTCTCTGTTTCCAGTCTTTGTGCTAAACTAAGCTAAATGGCTACTGACTGTAACTTCATATTTACATACAGACATAAGTGGAATCAGTCTTATCTAATTCTATGCAATAAAGCAAATTAATATAATATCCAAAATGTCAAATTGCTAATAAGCAAACAAGCAAATAAGTTGGTTAGTTTATTGCCATATCATTAACAGAAAACTGTGACAAAGCAAGAACTACTGAATAAGAAGGGTTTCATGCAGATCGATATGAAACAATACAAAGAGAAGGTGCAGTAATGTGTTTTGATGGGAGGTCAGGGGGAGGGGCGGGAGGGATGTGGGTCAACCATGAACCAAGCAGCAACAGCTCTGACAACGAATCGCTGATGAAATGAGACAGCGAAGTGAAGAGACAAGACAAAAAAAAAAAAAGTAATTTCCACAGTGGATTAACAGCTTTGGTCAACAGAAAAGCCTTAGCTGGCCGGATGCAGTGTGGAGTGTGGGGCAGAGAAATGGGTGTTTATCTTGCTTGGTTAATCCATTAGCAACACGCTGAGAGGGGGGCTTTGTTCAGGATAGCCCTTTGCATGGCTTTATAAAGGCAGATCACAGAGAAGGAAAAACAACCACTAACCTTTTCCACTTTTTTTTTTTTTACAATATATCCACCGAGCAGAGATAAAAAGTGAAATATGAATCTGTATTTCTAATTTAAACTATCTAAAGACTTATTTGTTGTAGACAATAAACAATACCCACCCCAACACACACACACAATGCATGAAACCCCAAACACTGGCAGCACAATCCGAGGTGTAGTCATCATCGCATTGCTTTGATTCATTCATCACTCTTCCTGCTCTTTCATCAGAGCCACCTGTAATCTCAACACTGAATGTTCCACATCCTCATCAATAAGCAAGAATCAGGAATCCTCATCCCTCTAAATGAAGTGCACAGCCATCAGAAAAGCTCCACAACTCCCCAGCAAGGCGAGCCAGTAGCATCAATGAGTCAGAGTCAAACCCTAAAACAAAAGCCCATCAGCACACCCAGAGAGAGGGGGAACACAGCCCCCCGCAAAAGCAACAAAAGCTTACCCACGGTCCTCCATTAACAGCGGCTAATGCTACAGCTAGGAGAAAAGGGACACGTGGGCTCCTCCAGTAGTCAGCCCCTTTCCTCCTGCTCGCCTCCCCTCCTGTTCGATTATTTTTGCTCAGCTTGCTGCCTGCTGTCCTCTCTGACTGACTGAACATCAGCGTGCAGAGCTGGGGAAGAGGAGCCAGTGATCTGAGATCTTTCTTCCTGAAGAGCTGTGCAGCGAATGACTGTGTGTTTTAAGCGTGTGTGTTTCTCAATGAATGAGAGATAATCCTGGGGTGTTTTGCTTGAATGGCACAGACAGAGCAGCAGGTCAGAGGGACAGAGAGGAGAGAGAGGGAGGGGTAGGTGGGTCCACCGGAGATGCTGTGGTGGGGATGATTGTAGCTTAGTAGAAGTTGATGCTTTTTACTAAGATTTATTTCAAAATAAGATTATATACCAGAAAAGTGATACATTTTAAAGTCACTTTAAAAGCAGCAAACTGAAATTATTAGTCATGGATATTTCTAATGCTGAGAAACAGAATAAACAAATAAAAAATACCGTCTACGTCAGCTGTTCTGCAAAAATGAAACGATTAAGGACTCTATTGGTCGGTGTAGGTGTTTTTAAATTGGTTGTATTGTTGATTATTGTATTTATGGTTTTGATTGTTTAAATGTTTAATGTTTTTGATTTGTATTGAAACTTATGTATTGACGACATGCGTTGTTGACCTCTTGGCCAGGTCACCCTTGTAAAAGAGATCGTGATCTCAATGGGTTTTTTACCTGGTTAAATAAAGAGAAGTAAATAATTAGACAACCTGTCATAAAGCTCAGAACAAAGGTGAAGCTATGTAGCCATACCAAGCAGTTAATTACAAAATTAAGCACAAAGAAAGTAGATAGTGAGCCAAAACCCTCTACTACCACTTGACACTACTAACAACTGAGGACATTTCACCAGCCCTTGGCTTGACAACATTATTTAAAGCACAGTCATTATCCAGCACTCTGTGCTTTCCACAAGCAAGAGGATCAACAGAGGGAAACCGCTGCCACCGTCTCAGCTGTGGCTCCATCACCCTGCCAACCAGCTGGCCCAGTGTCACAGTCCGATGGCCCAACTGTCATGATGAGTCACCACAGAGTGCATAATGATTGACTGGGTGTCTCAGCTGACTGATCGCCTCTGCGCGGCGTGCTGAGCTGTGAACAGCAGACACAGGCTGAGGTGAGGATGGTCATGATGCACTGGTGAGCTCAGACCTCATAGTTATAGTTGCACAGTGCCTGTGTTTCTTACCACTCCACCATCCCACTAAAACAAGAAATATGCCAAATTTTATAGTAAAATCAATTTGCATCAAGGTAATGTATATAGACAAGATGATTAATGAGAATATTCTTTAAATCACAACAGCTCTCACTATTTCTTCAACGGTTTTGA